ACGTTTATTATACGGTTACTGCCACTTTACAGAAGCGGGTTGCCCATAAACTACATGTCCCACAATGCATCTCGTTTTGTGACATGCCACTGAAGAGACTTGCAATTATTTGCCCTGGACTTCATTGGTTCCCGCAAGACATAATGCGGGAATTTGAGAGCAGACAGGTGTCGGTGCTTGACTTTATCAACAATGTTGCAACCTGGAGCAGAAACATAAAAGACACACACACACACACACACACACACACACACACACACACACACACACACACACACACACACACACACACACACACACACACACACACACACACACACACACACACACACCACACACACACACACACACCACACACACACACACACACACACACACACACAGTACTTTTGACAGATGTGTTTCTTGCATAAATACAATATCTCCACCTTGATGTTTCATTTGTATAAGCACTTTTTTAATTGGGTTGTTTAGGCCATTAAAGGTGGGGTCGGTCATTTTGGAGAAACCAGCGCGAGTGCGCTAGAATTTGAAAATACACAGCCGGAACAATGATAAGTTTGTGCACAGATGGAAGGCTGACAGGCAGGTAGGCCATCCAGTTACTTTAGCCGGGCCGGCTAAAATGATTGGTCGTGCGTTTTACAGTACTACGGCTTCCACAGATGACATTTTGTTATGGATTTTTTGTCAAAGCACTTAAGATATTCATTGCTATCGGGATGTTAAGAGCATTCCATGGAATATAACAAAAAGTGTATCTCGAGCCGGTTTCTCAAACTTACCTACCCCACCTTTAACTAATAGTGAAATTATATTAATGTTCATAGTTTAAATTCTGGTGTTTTCTGTGTTGAAACAACTCTCCTTTACACATAGTTCTCCAATCACTTCTCAAAAATGCACCTTTTAGAGCTTCTAAACCTGTGTACATAATTTCTATCACCTTTCTTGTATTTCCCAACAGTGTATCCATACTTAACCCTGCACGGGTAAACTGAAAATAATGATAACACATGTGACAACAGAACAAGAGTTGAGAGTCAAGACAAATTCAAATAAGCTTTATTGACATGCCCATATTAAAAACATACTATTGCCAAAGCACATTGACAATAAAGATTTAAGACTGAAACAAGTGAGATAATCAAGTCCATTGTGTTAAATAGAGACATATCATCTTACAAAGCCATAAAGATGAATAATATTCTAAATGTATTGATCCTGTATAGATCTGTTTTACTGGTTAATAAAAAGAGAATAGCATGACATTGTTGTGAAAGCAGGGATATTAATTTTAAATGCTGATAAACACAAATGTCTTTCCTCTGAAGTACTCTGTCTGCCGCTGATCATAAATATAAAAAGTGCACATCATTTCAAAGACAACTTTCAGGGAGGAGTTGTTCACTTTGAGAAAAAAAGGTGAAGTGGTAAAGCTGCTTTTTATCTGATAACAGCAGTTTGTTGAAGTGGAAGAGCTTTATCTTGTCAGAGAACATGTAATACACCCACAATATATTCACACGGTTTTTATCTTTGTATGCATGCTCAAAGAAAGTTGCCATTTCCTGATCTAACTATATCTAATTTGCCCATTTACTAAAGTACTGTAATTAACTTCAAATAAAAGGCAGTTTACTTTTTTAAATGAAACATGAGCAAATCCTGCAGTTAAAGTCCCAGATTATTATTGTGATAAACATACATACATTTTTGTATTAATGGACAGCACTAGTTCTTACAGTATGTACAAAGTGTCTGGTACCTATGCATGTTAAATACCTGCAATAGATTTGTACTCACATGGCCACAAGAGGTCGTTGTTAGGAAACATACTGTATAACACACAGGCTATTTTACATATTTGAACAAGTTAGACCAATGCTGAGACTAGAGTATTGTTGTATATTTCTGAATTATTCAATAATGTTTGACAGTTTTTCTTTTTCTTATTTTTATCATATTCTGCTCAATAAGGCACCTTCAATATTATAACTTTCAGGAACTGTGGGCTTATCAGCAGATGTTTTTAAGAAGCTGTTTTTATGTTGATATGTAAAAGGATTTAACATTTATATTTTATTAGACATTTTCAAAGACAAAAACATACGGACGAAGACATGGCTCAAAACATCACAAACAGAACAGTACAATAACATGAAGGGTGGGGGGATTACAGTGTCAGTTACATTTAATGTATGCATATGGCGTTGTATTTATACATGATTTGCTTCATAATATAGATATACTTCATTGTTTCCTCATTATTATTATAAAACAAAACATTTATCATAGATAAATAAATAGATAAATAGTAAAATAAATACATTTTCCATTTAATTTCACTTCTTTCACTATTATTACCATTATTTTTCTGTTTCTTCATAGCTTATTTATCTTTATTTATTCATTAATATTATTATAATTATTATATTTTCTATTGGCAGCCGAGATGGTTTGAGTCCTGAGGCCTGTACTACGAAGCCGGATTTTCCTAACCTGGATATGTTTGAGTTAGCCGGTTGGCCCAATCCAAAACATACGCGCTCTGGCTAAACTGTACTACGACGCTGGTTATCAAGTGGATCGCTCAAGCCAGCCGTGTCCTATCTAGTTAGGTGCGCGTTCACATGAAAGGGGTGGTATTTGGAGCATTCGACCAATCACAAACATGGACAAGCGTACTGACAGCGCAGCGTCATACTTCCTGAATGAAAAGTGAACTTTAATATTAGTCAAATATGAAGAAGTTAAACTTTAAACATCCATGACTTAAACACTTTATCCAGGATAAAAGCCACATAGCTGCACCTGCAAGGTGAATACAGCTGGTAAAAGAAAAAGCGCTTGAATGCGTACATTAACAGGTTTATGAAATCACTGCCCCGTCCAAGACACGAGTGGATCTGACTTTAATTACATTTGACTCGAGTGTTTCGTCAACTTAATGTGTTGCTTAAAATAATACTTCTGCATACAGTATGTGACACTGTGAGTGTTGCACGGCCAGATACGGCTCAAGAAGCTGACTCAAATAAGGAAATATATGATACATTATGATGTGATATGATATGAATGATAATGGGACACATCGACGTCTGCACTCACAGTGCCGCGGACTGTACTTAATGTTACTCTGATCCGGTTACTTACGTTGTGGCAGATATTTAAGTAAGCTTTCTTAACGCTAATGTTATAATAGTCAGATTGCTCTCAAGATGGGAGGGGATATTCTATTAATTTTCACGTTCACACAGTCAGTTGATTTTTGCCGGCCGTCTTTCCTGCAACGGCAGTTTTTCTGTATTTCCTCTATCCTGTAATATGACTTGATAGCTTTAAACTCCGCACACACGGAGCTCTGATTGGTCAGCAGGCGGTGCTTTCACTGAGTTGATCTCTTAGCCTGCAACCTAACCTCCTCCCGAGGAGGTTAGCCGCTCAGCATAAGTTACCATGGAGATCTAGCCCGCTAAAAAGAGAACCAGCGTCGTAGGACCGGAAAGCCCGAGTTTTCCCTGAAGTCAGCCGGCTAAGCGAAAATCCAGCTTCGTAATACAGGCCTCAGGAAAGCCCTTATCTTATCCCAGAGCCTGTTGTCTGGCTTAACCAAATATAATGGCGCATTTCCACTACACGGCCTCGCTCGGCCTCGCTCGGTATGGCTAGGCCTCGTTAGGACTGGCTCACTTTATGGCGCATTTCCATTACAGTTTAGGAACTGGGGTAGTATCTATAGTAACGCAGTGTAGGCGGAGCCGTGACGTCATCTTCAATGAGAACCCCAGAAAAACAACACAGCCGTTAGCTGTTAGCCCTCAGAGCTCACAGCTCCTCATATATGTTCAGAAACTAGACAAAAGTTAAACAAGTACAAACCACAGACTGCCTGTGTCATGGCGAATACAGTCGCTGCTTTATTTATGTCTGTATAGGCCGTTGTTGTGAGTGTGGATGGTCGGAGCATATACTGCGTTAGCTTAGCCAATCTCCATTTAGAAAACACGCATTTTAAAAGGTTTTTTCGCCTGCCGTCTGTCTGCAGATTTGTCAAAGCATTAATTCATGGTTTTTACTAACCGGTATCAGTATGTTGTTACTTCGGCATCATTTTGAAACGTATATTACAATTAAATCACGGTCAAATATGTCCATCTTGTTGTAGTTGTAGCCCCCTTGCCAGCGATTCTCTCTCTAGTTTAGCATACTAAGCCCGACTCAGCCTCGTTGTCTCTGGCCCTAGACCCACGATTTTATGAGGCCAGAAAAACTGTGAATTAGGACCCGTCGGCCGGTACTAGGCCAAGTGGAAACGCAACCAAAAACGGGCCGCTGACGTCACAGCCCTCTTAAACCGTGCTCCGCGCTGTAGTGGAAACGCGCCATAACAGGGAGAAAGCAGCTTCTTCCATACTTCAGATGTTTAGGAAGTCCTCCAGCCATCTATTTCAATTGAAGCAGTTGGGCTTTCTGACTTTCCAGTTCATAAGAACGTTACATAAGATATGTAAAAGAATTAATACAAATACTAATTTAATTGAGGCAAACAAAAGTTGGCAAAAACTAATTAAATTACTATTTATTTATTACTGATATTAATCCTAAACAAAAACACTAAATACATGTGATTTATCAATTCGAGCAAAGTAATTCTTATTCATGAAATCAGACATGTTGTTAAAGGTGGGGTTGGTAAGTTTGAGAAACCGGCTCGAGATACACTTTTTGTTATATTCCATGGAATGCTCTTAACATCCAGATAGCAATGAATATCTTAAGTGCTTTGACAATAAATCCATAAAAAAATGTCATCTGTGGAAGCCGTAGTACTGTAAAAAGCACGACCAATCATTTTAGCCGGCCCGGCTAAAATAACTGGATGGCCTACCTGCCTGTCAGCCTTCCATCTGTGCACAAACTTATCTCGTGCCCTCATTGGTCATGTGCACGTTCGTGTGTGTTGGAGGAGGGGCTCTGTAAGGAAGTGGCAGATTTTCTCTGGCTGTGTATTTTCAAATTCTACCGCACTCGAGCTGGTTTCTCCAAAATTACCTACCCCACCTTTAAGTTTTAAATAACTCGATTTAAACTAAATTGTAAAAGCATGATTGCATGTTTAGTATCCAAACAGTCACCAATGTTATTTCTCACAGATCCAATGCAGATTGGTCCCACAGGACCGGTCGTTCAACTCTTTGTAAGCATTGAAGTATGCACAGTACTGTTCGCCATAATATGGACTCCATCCTCCATTATCAGGTAGTGATTGGTGCCAAAACCTAACAGGTATTACAGGAAAACAAGATGAACTAAAAGATTGGACATGAAATACAAATAACTATAAGTAATACAGTTGTGTTCTTTTCGTAACACCCAAATTAATAGAAAGGTCACAACATAAACCAGCGTCTGTAATTAAAAAAGTAAAGCCTTACATCGGATTCAGATTCAGTGGAGATCCATCCACCCATTTCCAGGTCCTCTCCTCTTCTCTGTAACTCAAACCAATCCAAGTTGGTTCCTTGGTCATGCTAGAGATGAATTCCTGTTCACATATTAAAAATGCAGTTTACTGTGATGGACATCAACATTCAGATAACTTTTCCCTTTTTACTAGCTCAGAAATATGTAATTAACACCATTGTTGTGATGTAATCATTATAGCTGATAGACACATTTGCTATATGTACAATAAAAACATTATTGATTGATAAAAGCAGGAGTTATACAATCACAAGTGTTAAAGCAGCACACATTACCTGTTCTTCATCACTGTGTATGATCACCAGATGTGCTCCTTCGGCTGTGCAGTTGTCTCTGCTTTGTTCCCAAGTAGCTTCCTCAGTAGAGAGGAGATAACAGGAACAACCGAACTTCCTCCATCCTTCAGGACACGTTTTTGCTGTAAAAGTTTTAAGATCTTGTTGATTTACTGCTTTAACTGCTGAAATATGGAACTCTTGAGTGCATTATATGTCACTTTTGTAATAATAATGAAAACACATATTTATTAAGAATTTTTAGAGGGATCAAATGAGATCACAAATTTCATTGCAAAACAACTACTTCTCTTTTTTGGGATTTAACTAACTGTTTGGATGTGATCTAGTCAGGCACCACAGCACTGAGACTGATCTTGTTAAAGTCTTCAATGACATCCACTTAAACACAGACAGTGGCAACATTTCGCTGTTAGTTACTAGACCGACTGGAAAACTGGGTCTAAATTGGTTTGAAACCTTGTTATCCTTTATTATTGTTATTATTATTATTATCATTATGATTATTATTATTATGATTATTATTATTATTATTATTATTATTATTATTATTATTATTATTATTATTATTATTATTATTATTATTGTTATTATTATTATTATGCTGCAAATATCTGGAACAAACTACCTCTAAGTTCTTCTTCCTATTGCTTATATTAAAAGTAATTTAGACAAGGAAACTGGCCATAAGTATAGTTTACAGAGAAATATAAATATGGTGGGTGAAGAACAATTAAACAAACTATAAATTAAATCACTCACAACTAAGTCATTAAAAACTAATTATTGATTATCATCAATGAAAAGTGTTATTGTGTAACTATTTTATGAAAGGATCAATAGTCAGCCTTAGAATATCAATCTTGAGGTATTTTGTAAAAAATATTATGATAATATATATCTTACATACACATACCGAGCCCTATGCAAACCCCCCACATGAAGCACTGACCATTGTTGTTCAAACAGTGAAGCCTGTCCACCTCTCTGTAACATTGATTTAAGTAGTCATGCATGTGAGAGATCTCCTCATCTCTGTCCTGGAGAGACTCAGTGAGGCTGACATTCAGCTGGTTGATCAGCTGATCTCTGGCCTGGAGACGCTCAGTCAGGTTGTCTTTCTCTTCAGTCACTGAGGTGATGTCTGCTTTGACAGCGGAGAGATCTGCAGCTGCACCACCTACTGAGTTATGGTCTGAAATGAAAATAGATGTTTCTTAAATTACCTGATGCAATCATACTGACACAAACCAAAATGAATGTTTTCCTAATTTGGCCCTAGGAGAAAAGTAGAAAAACTATAGATGTTTTGGTCGAATGTGCATCTTTCAGAGCAGAATATTGCTCCTTAAAATCACACGTACAAAATGACATTATTAAAGGTATTAAAAGAAAGACTCACAGTGGACAGCGAGGCCGATGAGTCCAGCCAGCAGGAAAACACCCAGCAGCCCCAGACCGAGAACAGACGCTCTGAGAAGTCTCCTGGGACCTGAACACAGAGAAGACCAGGGAGTAGTACAGTAAATCCAAAATCCACAGCTCACTCTGTCTGACACTCTTACCTTCTTGTATTGTTGATGATCTTGAGCTTAGGGGTTTGACATCGTCAACATTGGCATAGACTTCCTCCATTGCTCATGGGAATGCCAACTCTTTCCTCGAAGGTCAGCTCTGCAGCAAGTATCCTGAAGTATGTGACTGGGGAAAGTGTGGTTGCTGGTTTGAATTTCTAAATGCTTTATCTTTTTGAGGAAATCACACATCATTTTATATAAAGAATATCAGGAAATACTAACTTGTGCACAGTGCAGTGACAATACAGATTTAAGACTGAAACAAATGTGATAATCATGTCCATTGTGTTACATAGAGACATATAATCTTACAAAGCCATAAAGATTAATAATATTCAAAATATTCTGATCCTGTAAAGATCTATTTTACTGGTTAATAAAAAGAGAATAGCATGTCATCATTGTGAAAGCAGCTACAAATGATTTTTGCCGTGAAAAGCTGGCTCTCTTGATGGCACAAGGCACAAGACGAACTGGCACAGATTTAAAGAATATTATTCTGTTAATGTAATGTTAATTTCTGAAAGTTGAGACAATTTAAGTTACCTTTTGTTGAACTACTGTATAAGTCTTTCAGTCTTCCTCTCAGTTATCCACTCTCAGGTGAAAGCCGTACTGCCGACGCCAGCTGATGCGCCACAACACCACTTCAAGCCCGGTGACTGGGTAGTGATCAAAGACGTCAGGAGGAAGCACTGGAATCAGCAACGGTTCCAGGGAAGTAGCGTGCCAAGCTACCAACACACGCATCAGAGGGTTGTGTTGTTCAGAGGGATGTGTTCCGGTTCATATACATGTAAATAAAAGTTTTACACAGAAAAAGGTTTTACATATGTATTTCTTTTTTTTTCAAAAACATTTTTAGTCACATGAAAAAAGTGTAACAGTGCATTGCAGCCAATAAGGCATTTTCATTTTTTTTTTTACAAAAGAACCCTTACCCACTTTCCCTCAACCCAGCCCCATCCCACCGACCCCCTCTCCCGGAGCACTGAGGCAACAGTACATCAATTACATACCAAATGATAAATACAATAATTTACATGCACATACAGTATACACATACCTGCATACATACATACATACATACATACATACATACATACATGTACACATACACATACACATACACATACACATACACATACTAACACATATATCAAGGGATGTCACACGGGCTGCATGTGTGGTGGACAGGGGAGTAATAATATCAGAATTATAGGCAGATAAAGGGAGAATCCCTACAGCGACACCATATCAGGGGCAAGACGGTCTACATTACTGATCAGTGGCATCCAATGAGCGTACAACTTATCTGAAGTACCCCTGAGAGTAAACTTAATTTTGTCCAACTTTAGGAGAGACATAGTATCACCCAGCCACATTTTAAAAGAGGGAGGTAAAGGAGATTTCCACAAAAGAAGGATTTTTCTACGAGCACTCAAGGAGGTAAAGGCAATGACATTGGTTTGAGTGTTTGTCATGTTGATTTAATCTGGGGGCCTACCGAAAATAGCTACATGAGGGGATGGAGAGATTTTTAGACCTACAATTTCAGAAATACATTGTGCGGGAATGGCAGGGGCAGAAACACAAAAGTTACACACACACACACACACACACACACACACACACACACACACACACACACACACACACACACACACACACACACACACACACACACACACACACACACACACACTAGGCACAAGACAAACTGGCACAGATTTAAAGAATATTATTCTGTTAATGTAATGTTATTTTCTGAAAGTTGAGACAATGTAAGTTGCCTTTTGTTGAACTACTGTATAAGTCTTTCAGTCTTCCTCTCAGCTATCTACTCTCAGGTGAAAGCCGTACTGCCGACGCCAGCTGATGCGCCACAACACCACTTCAAGCCCGGCGACTGGGTAGTGGTCAAAGACTTCAGGAGGAAACACTGGAAGCAGCAACTGTTCCAGGGAAGTAGCGTGCCAGGCTACCAACACACGCATCAGAGGGTTGTGTTGTTCAGAGGGATGTGTTCCGTTTGATATACATGCAAATAAAAGTTTTACACAGAAAAAAGTTTTGCATATGTATTTCTTTTTTTTTCAAAATATTTTTATTCACATGAAAAAAGTGTAACAGTGCATTGCAGCCAATAAGGCATTTTCATTTTTTTTTTTACAAAAGAACCCTTACCCACTTCTCTCAACCCAGCCCCATCCCACCGACCCCCTCTCCCGGAGCACTGAGGCAACAGTACATCAATTACATACCAAATGATAAATACAATAATTTACATGCACATACAGTATATACACATACACATACCTGCATACATACATACATACATACATACATACATACATACATACATACATACATACATACATACATACATACATACATACATGTACACATACACATACACATACACATACACATACACATACACATACACATACACATACACATACACATACTAACACATATATCAAGGGATGTCACACGGGCTGCATGTGTGGCGGACAGGGGAGTAATAATATCAGAATTATAGGCAGATAAAGGGGGAATCCCTACAGCGACACCATATCAGGGGCAAGACGGTCTACATAACTGATCAGTGGCCTCCAATGAGCGTAAAACTTATCTGAGGAACCCCGGAGAGTAAACTTAATTTTTTCCAACTTTAGGAGAGACATAGTATCACCCAGCCACATTTTAAAAGAGGGAGGTAAAGGAGATTTCCACAAAAGAAGGATTTTCCTACGAGCAATCAAGGAGGTAAAGGCAATGACATTGGTTTGAGTGTTTGTCATGTTGATTTCATCTGGGGGCCTACCGAAAATAGCTACATGAGGGTATGGACAGATTTTTAGACCTACAATTTCAGAAATACATTTGAAGAAAGATTGCCAGAAGCTAGATAATTTAGGGCACAACCAGAACATGTGAGTCAGGTCGCAGGGGGCCTGGGAACATCTATCACACCTGTCATCCAATCTATCTGGATAAATCCTGGAGAGCTTAGCCTTGCTATAATGTAGTCTATGGAGAACTTTAAATTGTATTAGGCTAAGTCTACCACAACTGTTGGATGAGTTGACGGCTCTCAGGGCCTCCTTCCAAAAGTCATCAGAGAAGGTGATCTGTAGTTCCTTTTCCCAATTGGTTCTGATCTTATTAATGGCATACATATGTCTTTTTGATCCACACATATTTGTTTTCCGTTTAAAACCGCATTGTATGCACCTGACCTGTCCTCTGGTTGAACTCATGATACCAAGGGTGAACTTGTTCTCTGTTTCAATCTGTGGCTCGGACAAATGCATGATTGTGCATTACTAATCGTCTCAAGCGTATGATGTAGGCAGAAGAATAACCCAGGATGTCATTCATTTCTGTTCCTGTGTACTATGACAAGAGTGGGTCTTTATTTTCTGGAAAGCCCCTTAACCCTTGTGTGGTGTTCATATTTTTGTTATTCAGCCAGTGTTCGTGGGTCTGGTGGACCTGCTGCCTTTTTGGGTTTCAATTCAACACCATCAAACAATTGTATGTTAAAATACTCAACAGATGTTTACTTCATCCCAATTACAAGCAATATAAACATCATTTATGGTTAATATTTGTCCTTTTACATTTGTTAGATCACATTAATGAATTAAAGTGCTACTTGTTATTTTGCCCGCTGACAGGCTGGTCCTGTGGCTCGTCTTTTGTTTGTAGCTGATGCTCAATCTCATCCTCTTCTTCAAAGTCAGACTCAGAATTCTCAGAAATGAAAGTCTCCCTCTCAGCTATCCACTCTCAGGTGAAAGCCGTACTGCCGACGCCAGCTGATGCGCCACAACACCACTTCAAGCCCGGTGATTGGGTAGTGATCAAAGACGTCAGGAGGAAACACTGGCAGCAGCAACGGTTCCAGGGAAGTAGCGTGCCAAGCTATCAACACACGCAACAGAGGGTTGTGTTGTTCAGAGGGTTTTGTCGCATGTGTTCAGTTTCAAATACATGTAAATAAAGGTTTTACACAGAAAAAAGTTTTACATATGTATTTTTGATCCACACATATTTGTTTTCCGTTTAAAACCGCATTGTATGCACCTGTCATCTGGTTGAACTCATGATACCAAGGGTTAACTTGTTCTCTGTTTCAATCTGTGGCACGGGCCAAATGCATGATTGTGCATTACTAATCGTCACAAGCAGAAGCATAACCCAGGATGTCATTCATTTCTGTTCCTGTGTACTATGACAAGAGTGGGCCTTTATTTTCTGGAAAGCCTCTTAACTCTTGTCTGGTGTTCATATTTTTGTTATTCAGCCAGTGTTCGTGGGTCTGGTGGACCTGCTGCCTTTTTGGGTTTCAATTCAACACCATCAATTGTATGTTAAAATACTCAACAGACAAAACAATAACATACTGTTTTGTTTAAAATACAATCTTCCTCCACTTTTATTTGACAGTTAAGATATCACCATGTACTCCTCCGATCGTTCTTTTTTGATTTGTCTTGTTTTTTATGGCAATTTATTGTTTGACATGTAAATAATCGGATGGAACATACCATGATGAAATTTGGGATGCGGACGGGTTTTCAATATGAGGGAAAGTTGTTTCCATTATTTTTTCTATCTACCCGTCCTCTGTTTAGGAGGAAAATTATGAAGAAATGTATTTATTTTCAATGAGAACTGAGGATGGGAGCTCCAAGTTGCCAACACAAAGAGGACATTTCGTTAGTTCTGAGATGAACATTTTTCTGACGTTTGTTTCTCTCTGGGCTACAACAAATTGGGTAGATGAACTGCCAGGGTCGGAAGACCCTGGTTTGGGTGGGATGTTATATTGTTTTCTTTTTGTGTTTTACGTTTTTGTTACATTAGTTTTAATGGTAAATAATAAAAGCAGTGACAATCCCTTTTGTGTATGGGGCCAAAATATACAACGTATTAAATATAATCCCACAGATATGCAGCAGTCACCATGCAAAATATGAAAATATATTCTTGGAATATTAAAGGCTTGGGAAATCCCATAAAAAGGAATAAAGTACTATCTCTTCTTAAAAAAGACAAAGCTGATGTGGTCTTCTTACAAGAAACCTTTCTCTCAGATACTGAACACCTTAAATTGAAAAGAGATTGGATAGGTCAGGTGTATTTTTCATCATATAAAACCCATAGTAGAGGGACAGCTATTGTGATAAACAAAACTTGCCCATTCGAATTAGAAAAATTAGTTACGGACCCAAATGGTCGGTTTGTTTTGGTTGTCGGTACTATTTTTGGAACCCCAATCACCTTTTTAAATATCTATGCTCCCAACATAGATGAACCAATGTTCATGTCTGACATGGTACTGCTCTTCAATGAAAATTGTAAAGGATTAGGACTGATGGGCGGCGATTTCAACTGCACTCTTAACCCTACATTAGATAAATCTAACCAGTCCAAGAGCCACAATCTTAAATCCTCAAAGGTTCTTCAGGGGCTTTGTGCAGAATGTGGCCTTATTGATGTATGGCGTCAACTAAATCAGGATGTCAAAGATTACACTTTCTTTTCAAATGTCCACAACTCTTATTCTAGAATAGATTATTTTTTTATTCCCTCAAAATACATGCATAGGGTAAAATAATGTAAAATTGATTCCATTAATATTTCGGATCATGCAAGAGTTCATTTAACTATTCACTTGGAGAGTGGAGAATTTGTATCCAGGCGCTGGAAATTTGATAACTGCTTACTTAGAGACGAAAA